GCATACGTAGTGCTACGCCTGAATGCGTGGGAGTGGGCACCAGCACTTGGTCGTTGGGAGTGAGCTGCGCACGGAGAGATCCATCCCGTGGTGGACCCCACTCGCCGAGGGTTAGCTCGCTCGAGGTCATAGGCAGGCTCCTGTACTCGGACCACCCGACAGAGGAGTGCAAGCCGTCGGGTGTGTTTGAAACGAACCGTCCGAGCCCGTACCCGAATAAATCCGGATACCGACCGAGCACATAGAATTTTTCCGACGCCGCACGCGGCAAGGCCGGACGTCTGGTGGCGGCGGAGGGCCGGGAGGCGACGGGACTCCGCGGAGGCAGGTCGACCGCGCCCGCGGGGCGAAAGCACGGGAGGGCCAGCGACGTCTCATCTCCTTGACGGCCGCCGGGGACTCGACGGGCCTGAATCGTCGAGGGGCATTGAGTGCCGAGCGCGCGAAGAGCGGCGCCATCGGCGCGACCACCGACCGCTGCCAGCGACCGGCACTTACACAGCAAAGGACGTAAGACACAGAGCACACAGCACGCCGGAGCGCGCCGTGGCCCTGCGGGCGACGCGGCAAGCCGCGCCGCCTAAGGCACCAGGTGCCCTTGGAATGGTGTCACCCAAATCCAGCTTAAAACAGCCGGATAAGAGGCTGCTTTTTGTCTATAGGGATTATGCAAAAATATTGTTTCTCTTTCTCTTACATTTTTCTTTCACGTCGATCCCTGTATCTGTATATCGTCTCCAGTTTCACTAGTAAGAGCCTTGTGGCCCTACAGCCATACCCTGATGCTATAAGGGGACTTTAAATCGCAGATGAATACTTAACATAATAAACCGAGCTTCTGCATTTTGATGCTTTAAATCAAATGCTAATAGGGAATGTGCGACGTATGCATTCTTCTTAACTTCTTTTTAGTGTCATACTGACATGTGGAGATATAAAATGCGAACGAAATTTACGTGCGCTCTCTGGTAGAACAAATGCAGTAACAGAGGTCGGACAGTCTTAAGGCAAAGTCGACTCGGCCGAGAAGCAGCCCCACGAAGAGAGCAAGTGAGCCCACGCCTTGTACATCAGGAGGCTCCTGATGTGCCAGGCTGGCTGCGTACATCATGTATGCAGCCAGCCAGTAGCTCCTGACAGGAGCTACTGATTACTGCTCTATCTGTCTTTTCACTTGCATGTGCTACATTTGTCTTATTACTTGCATGTATATCTCTTGTACTGATGTATTTCTTGGTAGTTTCTCAAAGTGTTTCGTGCATAGCGCACAATGCCTTCGGTCTGAAGCCTTCAAATGTACCCTATCATTTGTTGTATGTGGCTTGGTGCAAAGGCACATTCGCACTCATTTCACGCCTCTAAACTGTCAATAATTGAATGTTTTCTTGTATTGCAACTTTTTCTCGCAAGCCAATTTTACGCAACGCACCGCACGTTTGCAACGTACCCACGCGCGTCACCTTTGGCATGCTTCTAAGCTTCGCCTGCAAAAAGGTATAGAATCTTTACCAAAAGTACATTGCAATAAGAACTTTGGGCATTCTTCTAAACACGACGGATCTGAAATGGATTTGTGGTAAACAATCCTTGACACCAACTGTATCAAAAAGCACGACTAAGCTGTTTAGATTACTAGCAATTATTTCTTCGCCACTAAGGTTCTGCGAGATGCTGAGAAGGAACAGAAAGACCGTCTGCCTGACACTAAAACTCCAGACCAAGTTTAAACTCTATTTTAGGCGACCGTGGAGCAACTGGGCTTACCCAAGTTCATAGATATAGATCTATATATTTTTGTGTTTCTCTATCGCATTGTAATAAATTTGGCGTCGCTCATCCGTATAAAACGTTCTCTGTAATATAAGGACTAGGTCGATCTAATTGGTGGATGGGTGAATAAAGCCGACCTGGTCGCGGAGCCCAATGAGCGGAGCCAGTGCGCAATGCATTCGCGTGCGTGGCGATCCAGCAGGTGCTTTAGTGCGAGCTGTTGGCGGCAGATTTCGTACTGTGATGGATATCCGGACGTTGCCAGATAAGTCATCAAAAATGGGTACAGTGAAAGCAAGAACACTTGGTTCTCAGCTTTGCGGTATGGCGTCATTATGCCAACTACCCTGTCAGGCGGTGTATTACCGGGATTACCACTATTGGGTTCTTTTTCTAGTATGTGGTCCATCGTCAAGCTACTCGATCGACCAGCAGCATCCGCAGTCGTGAGCCAGACCCGTGTTGCGGGGTTCCACTTGGATGCGACCGAGGGCCGACCTGGAGCTGCAGCACCCGAAGGAAAACGGGGGTGCTTACTTGAACTCGCGGGCTGATGGAAGTCGTTGGCTTGGCGACCGACGCGAAATGTCGGGTGGTCTAATGTTGTGCAGGTTGAATGCTCGCGGTGCCGACACTCGTCGAGTTGTTTTGTTCCGGCATCTGTATTGGTCGTCGTACATGAAAATGTTTTCGTGTTGGCGCTTGTTTTTCTTCTGGAGGCGTGGAGCTGGGCGGTTGGCTCGATACATTTGTTTTCGTTCGGCGGCGTGGCGCGTTGGATATGTTTTCTTTGTTTGGTTTGATGTCTGGGTTTCGGGGTCGGATGATATGGATTTTGCTGCTGAAGGTTGATGGCTGATGGCGTTGGCGGTGGCGGCGGCGGCTGGCTGATTTGTGCTCTGTGCTCTGTGCTCTTTGTTTCTCTTCTCGAGGCGTGGAGCTGGGCGGTTGACTGGATGCATTTGTTCTGTGCTAGGTGCTCATGTCGGTTCTGTGTTGGATCTGATGTTGGTTGTGGTCCCCCTGACCGTTGTTTTTGTTGTTGGCTGGCTGGAGCGTGTCGTCTTCCTCGGATACGTCGTCTTGTACAGTGTGGCGTTGAGTTTCTCATAGCGTCGCTTGGTCTGATGGCGCGGCTCGCAGCAGGCGAAGGCGTCGACTGACAAGGCCTCTTTCTGCCGCGGCCTGGATGACCGACGGCCGCGCCTCTGAGAACGCGGCCACTCATTGGTTGGTTTCGCTTGCGGGGCGGCTGGAAAAACGCAGAATCGTCATTATGCCAACTACTACTACCGCGATGATATCGTAGGCAATGGACCTACACAAGCGCTAGCATTGCTAGCATAATCTCAAATACGGTGCTCGAGTAGCGAGCTGGCCACTCGGATAGGTCAAAACGACATTGACCTCACATCGCCAACACAGGCATCTCAGGCCATGGCTGCCGGCGTTAAGATATTCAGACTCGATACTCAGACTCGATGCGCATGCGTTTTCGGGGCTCCTCGACAATATCATTTCGAAGAAGATTGTTAAGGCTATTATAGACAAATAAGGTCACGCCCAAGATGTTCCGTGACGAGGTCGAGCTGCACCTCGCGTATGAACTCGGGAAAGAAGACGACGACAAGTACAACATTTGTCGTCTACAGAAGATGCTTCTCAAGCTCACAATCAATCAATCAAACGTGTTCGCGTTGAAATCAAATTAGCAAAAACTAACTCAAAGACTTCGCATACGTAGTGCTACGCCTGAATGCGTGGGAGTGGGCACCAGCACTTGGTCGTTGGGAGTGAGCTGCGCACGGAGAGATCCATCCCCGTGGTGGACCCCACTCGCCGAGGGTTAGCTCGCTCGAGGTCGTACGCAGGCTCCTGTACTCGGACCACCCGACAGAGGAGTGCAAGCCGTCGGGTGT